TTGAAATCTCCCCCAACGGAGCTTTATGGCAAGTTTCTCAGACCATCTCCTCCTACCAGTAACCTCCCTCAGGCCGGAAGGTTTTTCCTGATATCTAACCTCAGTTTCTGCTGCAGCTAAGCCTATTATTTTTGTCCTATTTATGTGGATGCTTCCCTTCTACTTTGCAAAATATGCTTCTTACAGAAAGCCAAATTCCTCTGTCCCCTCTGGTCATCTGTTGTTTACACACAGTCTACACAGTCTCTAACCTGACCTGTGAGTGGAGGCTTTTCCAATAGTTGCTGATTCTCTCTGCATGGCTTCCCTCCAGCCACTTCACATTTTCCTAGAAGAGGGGAAAAAACTGCTCAGCATTTGACACAGCACTCTCGCTGAGGCTTGACTAGTGCTGAGTGGAGCTGAAGGATGGCTCCATGCATTTTAAAAGTTACCGTTCTGCGTAAACATCCTCATACTGACATTTAACATTTTCACAACAGCCAGGTCCTGTTGAGTCATGCTCAGGTTGTGATTCACTCCTTGCAGAGCTGCTGCTAGACCTTGGATCCCCACCCTTCCCCCAGTCCTCTGCAGGTCAAGCCCTTGTTTGTAAGCTGGTGTTGAAGGCTGGCTTGTTGCTCACTTTTTCCTCCTCCTCCTTTTCATTTTTTTTTAGAAACAGCATGCCAAAGCCAGTTCTTGTTTTTCTTTCCTGGAGTTCTCAGTACGCACCCTCCCCTCCCTCTGCTGACAGTACATGGGTTGTCTGTCTTCACTAACTTGCTGCTTCTCCCCTCACCAAGAAAGGTTTTCCTGGGTTTGTTTTTTATTCACATCCAGACAGCTCAAGTGAAAACAGCTCATGAACTGCATGAGATGCACTCCTCCACCCATCTGGCTTCATTTGCATAGGGAACACACTGTCATGATCTTTGAAGCTCTCCAATCCCTAAGGGCCCCCAAAGCATCCCCCTTCCAGAAGCTCTGGCTCAGAGCTTGAGGTGACCCGAGCTCTCTGACCAGGGCTGGGGGCAGCTCTGAGCCCAGGAAACCAGCTCACACGTTGGAGTGTGGGTGCAGATCCAGGGGCCAGCAGAGCTTTTCCTGGCAATTCCAGTCCAAAGGAAAAGAAAAGCAGAGACAGTCCTCTGTTCTCCCCTCAAGCATGCAAAACCTACTACCTCAAATCACACAAGTTTTTTCCCCATAATACCCTTTCAGGAAGCCCTGTAAGCAAAGAGTAAAAACCTCTTTTTCACCTTTGCAAGTTATATTTAGTACACAGCTATCAAAGGATTGTCAAGCAGTATCAGTACATCAACGTTTTCTAGTGGAGGTGCAATTCTGCACTTTTTAAAATAACAATGGTCTAATAAGCCATAAACTTAAATTTATTGAGCTACTCTGTCTGACCTCCTCAGCTGAACGACTGCAATACAATGCACACAGCAATGTAAATCTGTAGAGCTCCAAGTATCATCTAGAAGCTTTCATAACAGAAATTAATGAATAGGAGTCCAAACATTTCATAAGGAATGAAATTTTGCAAACTGTTAAAAGACCAGCTAAGGCAGATTGCGTGTTATTTTGCAGAGCACCTATAGCAAGTTCAATATTTTTCATGATATTACAAAACAAAAATCACTTAACTGACCATAGGCTTGCCAGGTACTCCAAAGCTGGTGTTGCAGCACTCTTAGGTTGTTTGCTGGTGTGACAATGAAGAACTTTAGCTGACAGTGCAAATACTTCTGGAAAGCATGGGACCTAAAAAGAAAGGAGGTGGCAAAGAAAGTACTAATACCAGACAGATATGATGGCAATACAGAAAATTTCACCTGAAAAAATTGCAGATCTTATGTAGCAAGAATAGAAGATAATACGCAATGTCATAGAATCATCTAGGTTAGAAAAGACCTTCAAGATCACCAAGTTCAATCTGACCATGTCCTTATGTGCCACAGCCGCATGCCTCTTAAATGCCTCCAGTGATGGGGACTCCACCACTGCCTGCTGCAGCCAGATCCAATCCTTGACCATCCTCTCTGTGAAGAAATTTTCCCCAGTATGCAATCTAAACTCTTCTGGTACAACTTGAGGCCATCTTCTCACATCCTATCACTTTTCCTCTGAGAAAAATGTCTGACACCCACCTCACAGCGGTCTCCTTTCAGGCAATTGTAGAGAGCAATGAGGTCTTCCCACAACCTCCTCTTCTCCAGATGGAACAATCCCAGTTCCCTCACTTGCTCCTCATGAGTTTTATTTTCTAGTCCCTTCACCAGTTTCATTGCTCTTCTCCGCAAACGCTTGAGTAATCCAATATCCTGCTTGTAACGAGGGGCACTACAAGATGAACATAGGATTTGAGATGTGGTCTCACTAGGACTGAGTACAAGGGGGTGATTACCTCCTTGCTTCTGCTGGCCATGCGTTTTCTAATACAAGCTTGGATACGATGCCAAGGGCTTTCATGGCCACCTGGGCACACTGTTGGCTTATGTTGAGCCTGCTGCCAACCAGCACCCTCAGGTCCTTTTCTAACAGGCAGCTTTCCCCAGGCCTGTGTCAAGTGCACCCTGCACTTACCTCTGTTGAATGCCATACGTCTGTGGGTGGCTCCTCTAACCAGATTCCTCTTCAAAACCTTCCTGCCCTCAAGCAGACGAACAGTCCCACCTAACTTGTTATCACCCATAAACTTCCTCTCATCCAGATCTCTCATAAATATACTAAACCAGATCCAGTACTGAGCCTTGGGGAGTGCCACTGGTGACTGTCTGACAACCAGACTGATCTTCACAGTGACCCTTTGAGCCCATCCAGCCAGCCACTTCTTCACCCAGCAATCTCTATGCCTGTCCTAGCCACAAGCCACAATTTCTCCAGAAGAACACCATGGGATGGCATCAAATGCTTTACTAAAATCCAGGGAGATAACATCCACAGCCTTTCCCTCACCTACTAAGTGGGTTATCTTGTCATAGAAGGATTGTCCCGATTGTATGGTGTGATGACGTTCAGGATGATCTGCTCCGTGACATTCCCTAGTACTGAGGTCAGACTGGCCTTAAATACATGTTCACTAACCTCCAACCAACTGGGGCCTCCTCAGTTAGCCAGATCAGCTGGTAAATGGCAGAAAGTGGCTTGGTGAGCATTTCACCAGCTCCTTCAGTACCACTGAATGAATCCCATATGGTTCCACAGACTTATGAACGTTCAAATAATGTAGTAGGTCAGTTTCCTACTGGAGTTAGGTTCTTCACCTAACTCCATTTCATCATCTTTCAAAGCAGAGGGCTGGGTACCCTGAGAACAAATGGCCTTACTGCTAAAGACTTAGGCAAAAAAGGCATTAAGTGCCTCAGCCTTATCCTTACCTTTCATTATTGCGGTTCCTCCCACACCCAATAAAGAATGGAGATTATCCTCGATCCTCCTTTTGCTGTCGTTCTATCCACAAAGCATTTTTTTAAAATTGTCTTTTGCTGCACCAACCAAGCTGAGATCCAGTTGGGCTTTGGTCCTTCTATTTTTTTTTTTGCCTGCACAGCTTGACAACAGCTCTATAGCTCTCCTGAGTTGCTTGCACCTTTTTTCCAGAGTTCATAAACTCTTTCTCCCCAAGTTCCTGAAGATCATCTCTGTTAATCCAGGCTGGTCTTCTGCCCCACCAGCTTGGCTTTTGTTGCATTGGAATGGACTGATCCTGTACCTTCAAGATTTTTTTCTTGAAGAAAGTTCAAGATAAGAAAGTAATCTAAATCAAAATGATCTCATCAACGATAATGGGGTATAACTGAGATTATACTAATAATTGTCTCTCTACTGCTACACTATTCTGGTGGCTTTTTTTGTTTTTTTGGTCTCCATTAGCTTCTTACTGATATATAGCATTGCTGACAGGGTGCTTATAAACACTTTATCGAATGTTAGCTGCAAGTCTATCATACCACTGCCCCGACTCATCAGTGGTGTCAGTAAACATTGCCACAGTGCAAAGAAATAATTAAATAATCAGGAACAAACAAGAGAGCGACTTGTAGCAATCCCCTACTTAGAACAATAGAGATACCATAGGCTTACTTTGAATATAAAATCAGAACTTGGTCTCATTTTTTCCCTTTGCTTTGGATAAGCCCACAATGGCAACCTCCACCATTAACATATGGTGAGTTCTTCCTCAAAACGCCGCCAGTTTAACATATGTTTCATCTCCGCATTACCATAAATAAAGTGGGAAATCTGCTTGGCTTTCAAGAAGCACATGAAGCAGCCAGGAATTTTTCCTGACAAATAACAAATGGCCTGTGATACAACAAGGATGAACTATTCCTACAGTCTTTAGCACAAAGCTCTGGCACAGCATGCAGAAGAAAGCCAACAATAACATGCGTGGATAAGCTGTGCCATTGCTGCACCCATTTCATGTGCTCTGCCTAAATAAAACCACTCAGTCCAACTGGAGCTAAATAATGGACATAAAATGCTATAGAGTGGGGGTTCTCCAGTGATCCCATCTTTCAGGTGGGAGCTGGTGAAAGAAGGAAGGAAGGGAAAAAAAGGCCAACTAGACACAGTCTGATAAGTCAAAAGAACTGAAACTGAACTTTATTTTTTTAAAGTATTCTACAATAATGGCTCAGAATACTACCGCAGCGCACAGGGACAAGGCAGTGCTCTGGGCTATGACTGTAGATTACTCTAATGCATGTATTTGTCAAAGCTTAAGGAAGGTTGAAATGTGGCAGTTCAACATTTCTTAAGCAAATATTTCATTATTTTAACACTTTCTAGGTCTTTCATATGATAGCAGGATTTATCAAATGCAATGTAGTCACAGAAGTCTTGCATAAATACAAATATTGATACTTTACCTTGAATATTGTATATTATATAAATTCTGCCTTACCTTTAAAAAAAATCTCCAGGTCATTATGTGATCCGGAGTCTTTCCTTTTCTTTCTCTGTAAGAGTTTTTAAATATATATATATATTTATATATATTTGCTATCATACATCAAAGTACATACGAATCCCATTGTTTTCTGCAGACATGGTATGAAACAAAATAACCAACAACCAAACCATAAGCTTTCTGATTTACATAGGATAGTCAAAGAGGATCTTCCCTCTTTAGGGTGTGTATTTCAGGACTAGGTTTTTGTTTGTTTGTTTTTGGTTTTTAAGTTTGAAAGGCTTCTTCATAAACTAGAGGTCCACAGATCATTTAAAGCAGTCTTTATAAGCAAATTTACATACTTTGACATGCTTTTGTGAGGCAGTTAGTATCAAAATCCAATAGTATTTTTCTACAGAACCATATGACTTTCTGCGATGCAGATATACATTTCATTTCTAAAAAGCCACAGTTCTTTTTCTACATCTGCTCTCATCAAATCCCCAGGATTCATTCATAAAATTGCTGTTCCAAGTGCTGATGCTGTTATCTCCACTGTGGATTAAGATGTACACACAATCTGGTGACATCATCGTGTGGAAGATTGGTAAGTACCCTCCCCAGATCCACAGATAGTCTTTTCTATCTCTGAGTGCTCAGGATTCATGTCACCCAACGGTGCAATGTGATGATGACATGTCTCCATGCAGGCTAAGGGTCTTCTTCCATCAAAGGAATCTCTGGAGCAAAAAGAAAAATGGTATTGATTACAGGCTGGGTCTTGCCTTTAGATGTTTTCAGAGTAGTATTATTAGCAACTCGGAAAAAATATAAATGCAAAATTCTGAGCAATATATAAAGAGTCTCCAATTCTATACCCCATATGAAAATCACAGAATCACAGAATTGAGTTAGAGGGGACCCTTAAAGGTCATCTGGCCCAAATCCCCTGCAGTGAACATGGACACCTACAGCTCAATCAAGTTGCTCAGATTAACCTACTAAGACTATCCATGTTTCCTAAAACAAGTTAGGCCCACCAAAGCTAAGTACAAACATCTTTTCTACTACATTTAACATGGAATCTGCATTCAGAGTAGGCAGAGCTTTACTGGCATCATCATCATTCCTCCCACCTCCTTCCAGCTGTCCTCTCCCACTTATGATGCCATTAAAAGTCAGCCCCAACCCTATGGTGCAGGAGACTTCTTCCACCCCAATCTTCACCCACAATTCTTTAAATGTCTCTAAGGAAAGCTAACTGGTTTCTTTATTAAGCTGAGAAGGCTCTGTCAGAACTAAATGAAATTTAGTGTTTAGTATCAATCCATGCTCATGATTGAAATGCAGACAGTAGTACACGATGATCTGCCTTCTACCACAGGGTTCTCTCCTGCATGTTCTTATATTGTGACTCCCATGTCCATAAAGTATATGTGAATGCTCACATGCCTTAGACTGAAATGTTTATCATGCATGCAGACACAAAGAGCTTGTCAGTGAAGGCTACTAACTCTGACTGGATATAAAATACATGGTGAAAGTAAAAAGCAGGTCAGCTGGCTTTACTGATGCTCTGTCTGTACAAGCAAACGTCTAAGGACTCGCATATGGCACCCACGTGTGACTCACCATCTGTAATATCAATCCGTGGGCTCGTGGACACAGCCTCCCCAGCAGTGCTCCGGGAGGCATCAGTTCGATCTGAGCTGGCAAGCACTGCTGCTTGGCACACTGGGGGTGAGTACAAGCTTTGGAGCAGTTCAGAAGAGACTGATTGACTCTCACAGCTCTCAAATTCACTTGGCAGCATGTCTGTAATCCTGGGACCAGGATAAGCAGGAGGACTTTGATCTTCTGTCTGCAAAACATGCCCCTGGTCCACTGTGGCTGAGTATCCAGGTGCCAGAGCATTCAGGCTGCTGCTTACAGCTTCATCGTAGGAAGGCAGCATGACAGGAACACCATCCACTACCACGAAGTCGGGGTCACCCACAGAGCCCTCCTGGTTGCCTCTAAGTCAAACACAGGAAAATGATCACAGAGAGCCAGAGGGTTTCATAGAATTGTTTCAGTTGGAAGGGACCCTTAAAAGCCATCGAGTTAAACTCCCTGCAGTAAACAGGAACATCTGCAGACAGAACAGATACTCAGAGCCCTGTCCATCCTGACCTTGGATATCTCCAGGAATGGGGCACCCACCACCTCTCTGGGTAACCCGTGCCACTGCATCACCACCGTAATTGTAAAAATCTCCTTCCTTATATCCAGTCTAAATCTCTCTTCTTTCAGTTTGAAACCATTTCCCTTTGTCCTACCACAACACACCCTGCTAAACAGTCTGTCCCCTTCTTTCTTACAGACCACCTGGGTTTCTGAAGCACCTTGGAGCAACTGCTGAGTGTAAGGAAACACAACATTTCCTAATGGCACAAATTGATGCTACAGGGCCATTAACATTCACAGAGGTGTTTGCCTCACAGGTCTGCAAAAATCTGTTCAGATTGACAGTCAGGTGGAATCCGTTACAATTGGATAAATGAAACAAGTAATGTGAAGCTCAGTTTAGAGAAGGGGAAAAAAAAACCAAACAGGTGCTTGGAGGAGATAAGGAGTGCCATTTGCTGTGCCATGCAGAGTAGGTATCATGGATATGAGATCACAGATGTTACTCAGCAGTCACAAGTGTCTGAACCCCTGCAAAGATGCAGGCTAGAGCAAAGAAGTGTTTGCAGCACATGTAAACAGGCTGTTATTGGATGGCAGGGTTTTGTTGCCAGATATTGGATTCCTTCAGTTCTTGCTCTCAAAGGATGAAGGCATTTAGCACTAGGCTGGTTCCCTTTAAAAACAAAACATTTATATTATGCTGGGAAGGTGTGGTAAATCCCAAATTACTTGTTTTATAGTCAGTCAGATCACAGTAGAGACTCAGCAGAAAGGAGTTGGTCGCAGGTACCATTGGGACAGGAAAACATCTGGGAAGAAGAGGCCAGAAAGCCACTTCAATAAGCTAGAGGAGAGCAGGCTAGCTGTGGTGGAACCCTTTATCCTCAATTCTTCATAATTACACAGGTATATGTACACTCCCCATATGCTATACATATGAATATGTATGTTAGTTTATACATTACAACTATAGAATCATAGAATCATTAAGGATGAAAAAGACCACTAAGATTGTCTAGTCCAACAGTCAACTCATCCCCACCATGCCCAGTGACCACATCTCCCAGTGCCACATCTCCATGGTTCTTGAACACCTCCAGGGACAGTGACTCCACCACCTCACTGGGCAGCCTGTGCCACTGCATCACCGCTCTTTCTGAGAATGAATGTTTCCCAATCCTAACCTGACCCTCACCTGGTGCAACTTGCAGCCATTACCTCTCATCCTATTGTTATTACCTGGGGGAAGAGGCCGACCTCCATCTTGCCAAATAAAACATATATTTTCATGTACATACACTTAATTAACAATAAGAGTACAAAGTTCATCCTCCTGTATTGACCTGGGGACATATTCAGTAATATACAGCTTTTTACCTCTCTCCTCTGTACATGGTAGAATAAAGACAGAAGAAAAAGAAAGAGAAGGAGTCATTCAGTCAAAGCCCATAGCAAACTGAGCACAGACTGAAACCTCAGAGCGGATCTAAACCCAGATACAGCATTAGCTCTGCCTAAACTTTAGCATACCTGTCTTTGTTTTTTCCAGTGGTATGATAATAGTAATACCATCTACTTGTCTCTTTATGAATGCTGTGACAAATGCCCAATGACATATGTTGATAATATTTCATGGAAGTAAAGGAAAATGTAGGAGATGTTTATGAGGGGAAAGCAAACTTTAAATTTAATTTCGTCCACAGGAAAAAAAACCACCAAAAAAAAAAAAAAAAAAAAAGATCTTTCATAAAATTTACATTACTAAATCTATAGAACTTAAAAAATTAAGTCCCTCAGCACCCAACATTGAGTATTTTAAACCATTTTTGCTGTCAATGATTTTCACACAACTGTCGACTATTCTTACATGCAGAATCAGGAATCAGTAGTTAGCAGAGCTGTAATTGCACCCAAAATGAATCTGGACAACTTTGCCTTTTCCGTAGAACAGCTATGGGAAGTTCTACGGTTCCAGGGGTGCACATCTCTGCAGGTAGAGCAGAGTTTGAAAATGGAATCAAGGGCCCCAGTCTTAACAAAAAGACAAGATAGTAATAAAATAACATAATAAAATAATTACAGAAAACAGTACAAACCTTGGAAGGAAATGTGTCTTAAATTTGGTCTGGAACATTCTGGCTAAGATGACCAGTAGAAGTACTAATAAAACGCTGGTAGCAGTAAATGCCACTATTTTCCATGTAGTCAGGAGGGTCTCCTGTGTATTTGGCCAGGTTTGTTCTGTAACAAAAAGACGATAATACCACAGTTATGTCTGATCATTACTGTTGCTAGTTTGTATCAATTCAACAATACTCAGAAGGGCCAGATAGGATGAGTGATTTCTTATAGGCATGTTTTACATGCACATACATATATATGAATCAAATTTGCACTCATTAATCTAATTCCAGATACTAAAGCAGCCTTAACAACAAGTCGTCACTGAGGCCGGACCTTGTTTTTTCCCCTTGATGTTATTTTTATGCATGCAATCATAAATTTTGCTTATCTATGTATTAAGTTATCAACATTCAAAAATAATTTGAAAAGCTAAATATTGAAAGGATCATTCAGGAAATAAAATATGCTGCATTTAATGGCATCTTAAATGAACAATTGTCACGTAAGCATGAAATAATGAGTTTCACCAGACATTACTCACCTCCTGATTTGCTCAGAAGGAGGTGGGCTACAGGAGGACAGAGGCTGCTCCCTTACCTGTTTTGACACAGTAGACTTGGTAGGAGGGGAACCACTCTCCATACTGGCAGGTGATGTATTTGTAGTCATTGGTAAGGGTGTAGCCGGGGTCACAGTAGAACTCTACCACTGTCCCGTGGTTGTAGCGCTCGCAAGGCCGCGGATGGCAGATGTAGTCTCCATGGCTGACCATTGGAGGTAGCGGACAAACTTGGGCAAACAGAGAGAAAAGGAGAAAGAAGTTAACCACAGCGACTGACCAGTGTGCCTCAAAATCCCCTCTAGGCTCCCTGCTTTGTGGGTAGGTACATCTGTGTGGCACCAGTGGATGGATGCACGCACCTCCTGCAGCAGCATGGGAGCTTTTGGCTTACATTTACACCAGAAAGCTCTGCTGTCTGTTTGCTTAAAGACGTGAAAGATGGCATTGGTGAAGCCTTCCAGCCTCTGGACGAGGGGAGGAAGGGAGAAAGGGACTTGCATGGCTATAGAAAGGCTACATGGGGATGGAGGGGGACAGTCAGAATAAAGACAGTCTCTTTCCTTATGAAGCATCTCAAATTCAGCTGTAAGATCTTTTTTTTTTTTTTTTTTTTCTTCCATTAGCACAGTTGATTGATTGCATGCCCTAATTAAATTCTGCAATATTCACTTTTATAAAGAAATTTGCTATCAGCAATGCTGGAAGAGATGCTCGGCTCACAGCGCTGCTTAAGCAATTACAGTTGTGCCACTGTAATTTTGTCTCACTGGGCTAAGACCACCCCAGTGCTATTTGTGTTTTGTTATCTCTGAGCAGCCCCAGTGATTCCAGCAGGATTGCTGCTGGGGTGAGGCACTGAATAGAACAGAGGCTGAGGCTGTGCTAATTAAGTACAGTGGTGTACATGAGGTTATGTACATAAGACTGAATTACAACATAAACATGTGAACTTTTATTGTAGATCCTGAAACAAGAAGAAATGCCCCCTCACATTGCTGAGTAATTAATAGTTCAACAGAGCTGAAGGAGCAGTCTCTAGGATGCAGCAGCTATAAAGCAGCTTGCAGGCAGTGCTTTTAAAAGAGAAGAAACTTATATACTGAAAAAGTATTAGTTGATCACTATTTTCTTAAGTATTGTTCCTAACACAAAGGAAAATAGTTGTAATGATGTCTAAAATGCTGATTGGACAGGGCTCAATCCAGCTAACTGGACTGTTTCATCTCCCTCCGGAGGCAGTAACGGATGGAATTGGAGCCCCATCTGTGGCCTGCCCACCCCTCCATCTCATGCCTCCTTCACATAGCCCAGCCCTACTGCATTGATTTAAAGAATGAAAATGCCATCTCTCCAAAGAAGAATCTCCCCAGAAATTACAATGCAGCTGCTTCTCTCTGCAAACCTTGTTACATGAATAATGTATTTCATAAAAAAATACACAAGATATTAAATGAATCTTCAAGAGAAGCTGATTACAATGTGCAGCACTGTCTGTTCCCCATCCCCTGGAGACATGGTTTTGTTTGCATTTTCACTGGCAAGGCTCAGTAATAACTTGAAATCAGAGCAAGTAATTCACATAAAAATTCACATCCTCCATACTCTGCATATTTTCCAAAGTCTCTAGGTCCATGAGAAATAGGAAGGGTTTACTAAGAGGTGAACTCAAGACTGAAAACAATTTTCTTAAGAATAGGGCAAAGGTGTGCATCTGAAATAACAGAAAAGCACCTTTGTCCATATCAGTGATCATTTCTCTATTACAAAGAAAACAATCACAGAAAGCAACAATTTTGGCCTACTGTAAGGAAACCTCATATATTTGTATTATCTACATTTATAGCATGAGAACAAAGACAGTAGATTAGACTTCTTTGCAATTGAGTTTTGGCAGACTGTGACAGGCAGCAGGAGACGTGTGGATGCACACAGCCCTCCAAGCTACAAGGAAAGTAGAGCACATCTTATCACAGGGGGCAACTGCTCTGATAAACAAATTCCTACTCTCCAGCCATGCACCTGCTGCCTTTCCTGACACACCAAACCCCAAACCCACTAATGTCATTAAGGGCCAAAGCAGCCTTCTGAATTTAAATAAATAAATAAATGAATAGATAAATAAAGGCCTCAGTGCTGGTCTCCCAGCTCAGGAATGACATGTTTTCCAGTCAGATTAAAAACCATGCATTGTGGGTACAGCCCATATGCGGAGCTGTCAGTTTGTTTACAAATGGAGATGTGCTTTAGAAAACCTGAGAATAAGAGCATTGCTCTTAGCGTAGGATATGTCCCCAGTGCTAAAAACGGGTGCCACCCCTCCCACTGACACCTTCTTCATTTCAAGGGAAATGATCATGTACTGATATTGCCCAAAAATGTCTGTAAAAATTTCTGTAAAGTGCTGTACTATGCTCGTTGTGAGATGGAGTAAGGTTTTAAATGGTTGTACACCCCAACCGCTCTTGCGTTAAATTACAGCAGTGGTTGCAATGGAATGGGTTTCAAAATATCACAGAATAGAATCATCAAGGTTGGAAAGACCACTAAGATCACCTTGTCCAACCAATGAAGGAATTAGGCTCAATGGAAGCAAGACTTTGTTCTGACAGCTGGGATGTCAGAATCAGGGCTTTTCTGTCACTTCTCCCTCATCATCTCCTATGAACATTATGTTCATCAAGTTCAAGGAATACTCCAACAGTTGTATGGGCAAAATGGCCCCCTCATGCATTTGTGAGGAGGGTGATTAATGACCATCAACACTCAGGTTCAGAGCCTCTTTTTCCAAATGAAATCAAACCAGATGAGTTATATCACCAGCAACCAAAGATTAACTTATTTCCATCCCTGGGCAGTTAGTCGTACATCTAGTTCCTTTTTCAACTCATTCCATTTTCATCATCATCCTGGCTCACGATCCTTTAGAGTCAATGGAAGTACACAGTGAAGTGGCCTTAGCTTTAATCACAGAAGACCAAGATTTTAGCTATTCTGGACAGCTGTTGAGCACTCTTGGCTCTCAGTAGACAGGCTTTTTGTGCAGAGCTAGTTTTCTTACAGGGCCAATTCCTCACTGTTGATATTTATATAGTATATACATAGTATATTACATAGTATCATGGTAGATATCAGTGCACAGCACCTATGACACAGAACTAAAGCAGTGTGGCAGATCAAATGTGAACTAAAACTCAGGTGGCAAAACTTCAGCCCACTGAAGTTTTCTAGGAAAGTTAAAATTCTTGGCACCTCAGTGATCATTCCTTGGCTTATTTGGTAATTACAGGCCATGGACTTCAGGCAAATGCACCAAATGCATCCTCTGAGCACTGGATCCAGGATTTCTGGATTAGTCTTTATAGAGCAGTTGGCTACAGGCTGTAAGGGGACTCACAGAGACTTTACAGCAGTATTTTCAGTCAAAACGTGAAATCATTAAATAAAAAGAACGACCGAACATGTTCATATCACAAATAAATCCCTTCTGGTAAGCTCAGGACTGCTGATGGTCAGGGAAGCTGTAGGGAAGAATTCCTGACTGGATCTGACAGCCAACCCCTCCTGCCCTGAGGATCAGTTGGAGCTCAGGGCCCTCCAGCTATGGACTTTCTGCTCTGACCAGTTTCAGTCAAAGATTAGTACTCTGATGAAGAACTTAAAACCTGGGTTCCAAGCCTTACATTCCAAACGCAGTTACATACTGCCTTGGAGAAGAGGACCTCCTCCAGGCTTGTAGGAGATAGTTATTAACTAGAAGGCAAAAATACGTTCCAGTGCTGATGTTCTAGAAGCAGAAGAAATGTCTGTGGTGTCCTCTGCAAGGGATGCCAAGCACAAAGCAAGGGTGACTCTGCTCCCCACCCACTGCCAGTGGGCACTTGTACATCAGATCAATGAATGCAGTTCTCCTCATTTTTTCTACCCATTACGGTCAAGGAGCTTTTTAAGCTCTGCTCAGAGGATGCTGCAGTTAATCTGCACTGCTGACACTAGGACTGTAGGAGTGAGAGAAAATGTTTGGCATTAGCACAGTCTCAATTAACACTGTTGGCACAGAATAAAGGTGTCACATCACTTTTTCAAAGCCACTGGTAGAGAGATGACAGTGAAGCTTCAGATACATAAAGTGCTCAAAATCTATTTTTAGCCAATAGGTTCACTGGCATTCTGGTTAGTAGTTTAGTTTTTGCTCAGAGTAAGCTGAAAATTATTCAGGTTTTGCCTAGTTTTTGTACAGGAGCCAAAAAACAAATGCAACAATGTCTTGAAACACAGGCTGCTGAAGTGCTACGAAGAAGCCAGAAGCCTCTTCTCCAGCTTTGATTTTTTGTGTAGTAGGGATTTTTCTCCTCCAGCCTTTCATGTATCAGATTGGTTCCTATGTTAGCTAGATCACAGGAAAACCCAGTGTAAGGCCAGCTGTTTTCTGTGTCACACAGGGATGGACAGTGCTAGTGACATTTGCACCAAATAAAAAATAAATCTTCTTCCAACTTCACCATGAATCCCTTTTTATTATGCAAAAAGTGAGGAAAGATTAAGATGAAACTTCATGTCAAGGAAGACACTCGGAAGCCTTTGCTCATCACTCTCCTGCCTTACTATCTTCTGCTTTGTATGCCTGGCTGCCTTGTACACAGTTGAGGTAGATGTATCCCACTGCAGTACACAGGGCATCCTTAGCTCCTCGCACGTGTTAAGCAAGAACAGAACACTCAGTAAAAGCTCTCTATTCTACCAGAACACAAATTCTTACTTCCCTGGAAAGCACAGAATGACCTATATATGTATTTCTCCCAGGCTGTCTGCCTTCCAGCCCTCTCATCCCCCCACGCAGCAAAGAGGCCAGCTGACAATCCTATGCTTGGCCACCAGATGGGAGAATGTGAGAGTGCAGTTGGGAGATGCAATTGCTTTTCACTAAATTGCATTTTCATGTCAGAACTGCTAAAAATTCATAATTCAGTTCCAGCATATTGAAAATGCAAAATCAGTTCCATCCCAATCACTGTTTAAGGCAGGAGAATGCAGTAGTTCTGCTGCATCCCAGCAGACCCAGTTTCCCATCTAAGCCTAGTTAGGGCCTTTCTCCCTATAATATCTTTGAACAAGCACATCCTTATGTATGTCAATTTGAATTTTTATTTTTATTTTTACAGTAACACTGAAGATGAAACCTGTTTGTTTCATACTCAGCCAAGAAGCCTTTCTCATAACTCAACAATTG